CGTTTTCTCAGAGTATCTCTGTGGTGGAACTAGCCCTATGTTTTTTTTTCTGTATTGTTCTCTCTTCTGTGCTATTGATTTGAGGTTTTTATGTCAGATTAAAATAATCAATATTTTACGTTGTATATTTTGTATTCCCCGAATAAAGGATTTCAAAAGCCTATTCATATTTTAACAATCCAAAACAATAACGGAGTTGGCTGGAACTTTTTTTATATTGTTCTGAAACCAATTTTCAAACATAGGACTATCCATTTCTCCATGGTAGTCTTTTGTTTTCTTTGACTCGAACAATGATACACCATCTGGCAAAAATCCATCGGTGCTTCCAATGTGGGTTATTATTAAAAGATTTCCTTTTCCTGTTGGATACTCCAGTATAGGTCTCACATTTAGTGGTTATTTCATCCACAGAAAGTGAAACAGTCTTTTCGAAGATTATTAAATACATTAAGTACGATATTTTTTCTTCTAAATACTTTATGTGCACGCATGTTACAATTAAAATAGATACGGCATACGATACGACTATGAATAAATAAAGTCTGACTTGTCTGTCAAAAGAAAAGGTTTATTATAATAAAAACCATGGAAACATGAATAAATCTAAACGAAAACTTTTATTAGGTCGATCATATGTATTAAAATTTTCATTTTAACTACAAATAAGCATTGAAGGATGAGGTATAAATAAAATGTCTACTTCTTGAACCTGTACTACGTTTTGTAAATTAAATTACTGCACTAAATTGTGATTTATTTAAAATTTTAAAAAATAATAGTAGTCGGGTGACCAAAATATGAACTGTGATTGGTGGATTATATTTTTTTGCCCTGTTCTTACTAGTTAGAACGGATATAAAATATATTTGTTCAGTTGAACGCAATGGTATACTTTTTCGTTTTTTTTTGAATAGCTAATATCCATGTGGGATTAGAAAAAATAAAGTGTAGAATTAAACAAAAAATAAAATTCTGATAATCGTTAGCTATTAATTAGTAATAGATGTCGAAAGACATGTTCTCAAATTTAAAAGTAGTTGCCAGTAGTATTACCCCCGATACTATTAAGTACTCTAAATTCGGTACAGCGTTAACAAAAAAATGCTTTCATAAATAAGAAGCTTGCAGATGTTGCACCAAACACAATTCCGTTTTTAAATATTCAAAGCGATGAAATTTTAATAAATAACGGGAAACTTTCATTCGATTGCACCGTGAATCCACTCGCGTATTGTATACAGGTAAATAAATATCTGTAGATAAAGATAATACCTAATGCAGGAACAGTTTCGTAAGTTTGATTATCTATCTCTATCCGATTATTACTCATACCTATATTTATACTTTATTAAGATGAATAAATTGCGCGCGGGTTTATAGGAATACATGAATGATTTCGAATCTATTGTCGCTTCAAATGACTTTCTTGGGAACGGTATTGCGAAAATTTAAATGCCTAGAAAGGTCTATGCGTCAACTATTGTCATAGTGAATGTCTGTCTTCGGCTTGGGTTACAGTATTTTACAGTGAAAACATAAATTTAGAGGTGTTTTCATTACCTAATAATTTTTGATCAACTGTATAATATACGAGGGCGGTTTGACGGAAGAGTGACTTTTCAGAGGTTGGCAACATTTTCGCTACGGTGATTATTTTGGTAGTTTTCGCCATGTTTCTGTCATCTGTCAAAATTTTACAAAAATCTGACAGATAGATTAGTCACAGTTTATAGCTAAAGAATCAGTTCGCTTTTTTTGATCTCAATGTTCCAGTTTATACATTGCGCAACTCGGATTTGTATCCCTGGCGCATACAAAATCAAATCATAATAGCCCAAGAGCCCACTGCAAATTTTTACCGCCATCTGATAATGAAATAAAATATAACCCAAAAGCTTGTAAAAACACTGTACTTTACAAAATGACACCTGTGCCAATCCCAATCCTAAGCAAAGTGGTTAAAAAAATATTTTTTATATTACAAAAATCACAAAAGACATGACAGCGTCAATTTTGTTTGCCCTTAAAGTTTTCCAGATAATAACATATTCAAATATATCTTGATATATATCGTTAACGGGAAACATTTTCTTTCTCTTAACATCGCACAAAAACTACACACGATTAGTAGGTAAAAATCATTAAAAATATGAATCCATTTTTGCTGATTTAAAAATTTATTTGTTTGCCTATTGTTGTGATTCATTTTACGGGTTGCCATAGAAACGACAAAAAAACGACTGATTATGGTTTAAAAGAATTGTCTAACAAGAGTTTATAATTATTTATAATTATTATCTGCAAAAGGTAGGTAAAAATATTAATAATTCAGGCTTAAATGCTAGGTTCACAATGAATTAGGTTTGTAATTTTCAGGGAAAACACAATTACGTGACGTTTTGAATATAAAATATTTTTTTTAACCACTTTGTTCAGGATTAGAGATTGGCACAGGTGCAATTTTGTAAAGTACAATGCTGTTACATGTCTTTGGATCATATTTCATTTTGTTATCAGATGGCGGTCGTAATTTGCAGTGGGCTCTCTTACTATAACCAATTAGGCATTCTAACGACCTGTCAAACAATAGCTGTCAGTGAGAAGGTATGGTATATCTAAGGGGGTATAGACATAGTCTTGCATCTTGAACGCTTTTTTTATTCAAAATAATAGTCACCAAGTCTGCCAATTTATGAAAAAATATATCTTATTTTTATTGTGTTTGACATAAAATATTTAAATGTAATCCATTATTCATGATTTTACGTATTGTAAACAGAATACATCGTATGTCGCAACCCTTGGATATATCAAATCTTCCCGCTGGCAGTCTTCTGCGCATCCTGAATTTGTATCCCTGGAGTGGATGTTATTTTGGAACATCCAATTGGTCCGAGTGAGCTAATTGATTCTTTAGCTATATATAAACTGTGGATTAGTTTTAATACTCGATTTCGTTTTCGATGTTGGGTAAATATGGAGAAAAAAGAATTTCGATTGTAAATTAAACATTATTTTTTACGTGGAAAAACAATTAAAGAAACCGAGGAAAAGTTACGTAAATGTCCCATGGAATGATTTGCTTTTAAACGTGGCCATATGAACACGGATGATGCTCAACGTCCGGGATCGTTATTTACTGTAACTACTTCAGAATTGGTTAATAAAATACATGCCCTTGTACTTAGCGATCGTCGAATAAAAGTACGTGAGATAGCTAATGAAGTAAATATTTCAACTGAACGGGTATGCAATATGTTGCATGAAATTTTACATATGAAAAAGCTATCTGCAAGATGGGTGCCGCGTTTGCTTAATGTTGATCAAAAGCTCGGTCGCATTAAAAATTCAAACGAATGTTTGGATATCTTCAACTGTAATCCAAGTCAATTTTTCCGTCGATATGTCAGTAGATGAAACTTGGATACACCATTATACCCCAGAAACAAAAATACAGTCCAAACAATGGACTTCATCCGAGGAACGTCCTCTCAAGAAAGCAGAAACTGTTTTTTTTTTGCCAGTAAGATCATGGACACAATGTTTTGGGATTCCAAAGGTGTAATCTTTATTGATTATTTAGAAAAAGGAAAAACAATAACTGGTCAATATTATCCTGATTTGCTGACACGTTTTGATGCCGAACTTAAGAAAAAACGACCGTATTTGTTGAAGAAAAGAGTTTTGTTCCATCACGACAACGAGCCTGTCCATTCGTCCGCTATTGTTGCAGAAAAATTAGCCGAACTGCGTTACGATTTATTGCCTCATCCGCCATATTCACCTGATCTGACTCCCTCCGATTACTTTCTGTTCCCAAACTCAAAAAATGGCTTGGTGGAAAGCGATTTCAGACAAATGAAGAGGTGATGGAAGAGACAAACGCGTATTTTGCGGAACTTCCGAAAAATTATTTTTTGGATGGTTTGAAAATATTGGATAACTGTGTTAAAAGGAGATTATGTTGAAAAATTAAATATTTTTTTAAAGTAAAGTAACTTTATTATTGAAAAGTCACTCTTCCGTCAAACCGCCCTCTAATTTTAATTATTCCTGTCTTATAAAATCACCTAGGTATATTTAAAGAAATCCATTAGTGTGAGGAATTGAAAAACCTTTCTCGAAGTCTAAAAATATATACATCTTAGACTGGGCCAAAAAAATTGACTATTTTTTATTAAATATATCTAGAATGTCATTTAGGATGACAAAAAAAAATTCGTGAAAATTTGAGCCCTTAATAGTAATTTTAAGAGGTCTATCATCGCTATTTTTGATTTTTAGTCATAATTTGATGTTTTACGTTAGAACTGTCATAACATTAAAGTGAAAAAATTCCTTTTCACTTATTTTTATATAAAATTAAATTTTCTACAAAAAAGGTCTGATTGAAATTTTTTATCAGACGAGCCGTGTTTCCGAGTAATTGAGCTTAATAGATCGATGTGCTTTTTCGATTTGTCCTTTTTACTTTGAAATTTTGTAATAAATGAATCAATGAATATTTAAAAAAGCTCACGTCGGATTCTTAAAGGAAGTTTAATGTTCTACAAAAAAGGTCTGTTAAAATTTTTGCCTAAATTTAATTTAATTAAAAGTTATTCACGATTAAAATCGAAGAAAATATTGAAATTTGTTAAAAATTCTTAAAAAGTAGATATTACAAAACTAAATTTTTTGAGGAATAATGGATAAAATTCCATCGGTGTCAGGCCCTCTATTAATGTCAAATGTTGACCGCCTTTGGATAAAATAAGATAAATGTTTGAATCACATCATATCATGTTAACTACACATATTTAGAAATGTGTAATATCTGTTATAGCTTATTATTTAAAAAAAATTGAATATAGTAGGAAAAAGTTATGAAAAACGACTACCTATTATGCATTTCTATTTCTTGTCTCTAATTATTTTAATCTATGATTGTGGCCCTGTTTAATACACAATGGATAATTCGTAATATAACTATCTAATATCCTATTTTTGTATTTCAGAAGGTCGATCCGGAATTGATTTTCACCAAACAGGAGCGTATCGGCAAAGGTTCGTTCGGGGAAGTGTTCAAGGGTATCGACAATCGGACAACGCAAGTCGTGGCTATTAAAATCATCGATTTGGAGGAGGCCGAAGATGAGATCGAGGACATACAACAGGAGATCATGGTCCTGTCGCAGTGCGATAGTCCCTTCGTCACCAAATATTACGGATCCTACCTAAAGGTAACGCTCATACGTTTAATTTAGGTTTAATAAAGGAAAAAGAATAATCTTAACCAAATATTTTTTGTCATTTAACCATCATCCCCCTATCGGTACACCTTATCGTGATTTGCTACTTAGACATACATTTTGAGACTTAATACAAGAAGCAAATATTATGCTGTGGTGTTGCTATTTAAAACAATTTTGCTTCCAGAAACACACGTACATTTTACTTGAATACAGCAAGTGCAAAATGTTCTGTTAAAATCTCCTATACAGTATCGGCTATTGAACACCTTCCAATATGCTTTATTAGAATCAAAGCGAAAACATCAAATCAAAAAATACTTTATTGTCAAAGACAAAATCTTGTCGATAACGCTGCAGACATATAAGACAAAACAAATAAAACAGTAGGTACAAAATAAAAGGTATAAAATATCCAGTCAGACAACATTTTTGTTAAAATAAATAAAAGACAAGGGAACAATTAATACATAAAGATATATGCAATTAAATATTCAATTACAATGAGTCATTAAAGAACTCTGCAAGATTATAGACAGTTTTTTCAGCTAGTAGACTCTTCAGTTTTCTTCGAAAGGCCTTATCATTTTCAGTCTTATTTCTAATGGCAGGTGATTGAATTTTTTTTCCCATTATATACTAAGGACTTCTATATGAAGTTAGAGGTTGGTATTGACAATGGTATATAATAAGTTAATCTGGTATTGTGATTCGATAATATAAATTTATAAATTATGATATTTATGTTCTAAAGAAGATTACAAATTGTTTTTATACAACGTTTAAAGGGGATGACAAATATACCCCGTTTAAAAGTTTAATATAGATATACCGTGTACCGTAAGCTTATTTCCAAACCCTATACGGTGAACGCAACCTGTTGCGATAACAGCCTAGGAAATGGAGATGCATCTAAAACGCTTCATTCCCTATACCGTGATCGCAACCGTTTGTGAAAACAGGTTTGAAAATTGATTAGCGTCTCTGGCCGGCAGGTGAACTTGGCTCCCGAAGCAAATATATTTGTGGTAATCACAGACATTTCTGTTATTTGATTTCTGTTATGTAAGACTTTTCACTTTAATTTGAGCTGTGTCCAAGCTGTTGGAGTCTATGCCGGTCGGCTTAGCCAGGTATGGGTTGATATTTTCTGGTGGCGGTGAAGCCGCCACCCTATGAGAAGGCGTTGTTTCGTACTTATAGCATTGCGTTAACGGTATAGAGAATGGGGGGTTTTAGAAGCATCACCATTTCCTAGCCTGTCATCGCAATCGATTGCGTTCACGGTATAGGGAATGGAAATATGCGTACCGTAAAACCTAAAACCGTTGAACTTAAATAAAAGTTTTTAAATTAATTCAATAAAAATATGGAAAACGTAAATTTTGTTTATATTATATTCAATAGACTGCTTCAGAAAGAGTTGCTTTGACACAAAAAACAATTCTCCCAAAATTTCAGCGCGATATCTCAAAAATTGAGCTGGCGCATGGGGGGGTCCCCTTTCCCATTTAAAATATTGTAAACAAAAATATTTGTTTTTATTTTTAAATCAATTGTGTGAAAAAATATCGTTGCAGGAAATTAAATTCTCTACAAAAAAACCATGCAGAACTTTTAATCAAGAATAAAAATTTTCAATAATAAAAAAGTTTACTATATGGTTCCAACTTAAGTAGACAAATACAAAAAGAAAACGTAGAAAATATTTGGAGGAATAAAGAAAAGTAATTTAAACGTATTTGTTAGATATATCAATAATTTTATTGCACAAATTCATAACCGAAACCAAAAAATGTATTATTTCAACCAATATTTGGAAATTGGGGTAAATATACCTACCTATTTATAATAGATTATGCGGGGTCAGTGCCACTAACAGATTCTTACGATAAGTATTTATCCCAAGTAGGTACCTGCGACCCCAATTAGACAGCTAAATATTTAATTCCCGATAAACGATAAAACCCTTGCTAAACAATTGGTAGATTGCCTATCGATAGATATCTACAAATACGCGGTATTGACAAATCTTTTCCACCAGACCAACTTAACTGAGAACATAAAATAAAAGTATGGTTGGGTATATTATGTTGCTAAACGTCTTTTGCGATATAGTGGACACAATATGGAGGTTAAAGAGTGTACGCAGTAAAGAATTAACTAAAATTCAAATGTAAAGCATGGTATCAAAAATCGGAAGTGCTGCGATTTTGTAATTTCGGTGATTTCGCCGAAAATCCACCATTATTTTATACGATGACCTTTTTTTTTGGACATTTTTCTTGTGTTTTGAATAATGTAAAATTTCCGGAAATATATTTTCTGAAATATTTCCTGAAACATTGGCAAATAGGAAGAAACGAAATATTTATTTATAAAAAGAATCCAACAAAGTACAGAATATGAACACAAATAAAAGGTTATTCAAAAACAAAAAAATAATAAGGTAAAATTTGTACAAAAATCTTATTTTTGACAAACAAGTTGAGCAAGACTAGCAAAAGGCATATCTTCATCGCTGTAATCACGGTCTATAAATAACATCTTCTGCTTCTTGCCAGTCTACTTCTTCAAAATCTTCAATATTATCGGAAATAAAAATTGACCTATCGCCTTTTCTATTTTCTTGACCAAGTTTTCATTGTGGGATACATAGAGTAGTTTAGCAGCTCTGTCATTAGTTAGTCTGTTTATCTTTTTTGAATGACTATATAAACGCATCATCAAAATTCGTGACTCTACTTGTGATAATGTAGATGAATAACAAAGTCCTTTCCACCAGAAGACTGGGTTATCAAAAATACTTTTCCATGTAAGGTTATTTCCAAATAATTTTCCACTTCAACAATAATTTGCTATTTCATCTATTATTTCTTGCTCCTTTATATTGAGTTTATTTTTTAATGTATTAAGTATGTATTCTATGGCTGAAAGAATATGTGTTTCATCAAGTACAGAACCTTGTGATTTTGGATTTAGTAATTCTACAGCATAATATATGGGCTTCATAACAAATTTTTCTCTTTTTTCAACAAACTCTAACAATGCAGATTTCTCTTTGCGTTAAGTGGGGACAATGCATATTTGTTCTAAATTACCCTTTTAATATTACGAAATACTTTTACAGAAAAGTGAATAGTGCCATAATCTTCTTCTACAGTTTTCAATCATTTGCAAATAGGTTCAAAAATGATAATTAGGTTTGAAATTTGACCCCAAAATATTTCGTCATCTAATATCCACTGCTTAACGTATTTATAAATCATTTGTGTTGCTTCTTGGCTAACTGCAATTCCTTGTAAACTGGGCCTAGTGTATACACTTTTTAAACTGGTCAAAATTGAAGACCAGCGAGTTTTTACAGGCAATTGTATGGCATCTGCATTTGGCTCTATATTTTTGTTTTCTGTTCGTTTTGTTCATAAAAGTTCATACAGAACTTGATTGTTCTTGCAATATCTGTAACTTTATTGATTAGAGTCGATATAGTATTGATTTTAAGCAAAGCATTGCATAACAAATTGATACCATGAGAAAGGCAATTATAGGAATGATATAATATTTTTCCTTTAATATGATTCCTGCACGTTGGATATTTTTTGCATTATCTGAATCGTACCCTAAGAATTTGTTTGGTCCGTATTTTTCATTTATCTTCCCTATTTGTTAGCTATGTACAGTGCCTAGAAGCTTCCAACAGCGGTACTGGTATAGTGATTATACAATTTATGACTCCTTGGTTTTGTATGTTGCTCCAGCCATCGTGTAGACCTAGAATTTCACTTTCATTGATTGTAGTTTCAACCTTCTCGGTATATCGGTCGCTCGGTATATTCATTATATATGATTGTGAAAATTCTTTAGTAAGTTTAATAAAAATAGGGTTACAAAATATGAAAAATATATTAATAAACGTCGGATTCGAATCGTTTATGACAAGATTTAAATATTTCCAATATTCCCAATATTTTCGAGACACCTTCGGAAATTTCAAATATTTGTATAAAAACAAGAACTATTAAAATAGCGTTATGATAAAATAATCAGAACATATTTATTTGGAATGCCAAAAGTTTTTTTAGAGGATAGATAAAGGTTTTTTCTATAGAAATAACTGACTAATATTTTAATCAACGTTATCATGATGCCTATCAATCAGTACTCGCTTTGTTAGCGATGAATCAAATTGTATTTACATAAAAATTAGAATAAAATTACGCTAACTCAATCTGCTAGTTTTATTCATTAATATTAATAAAGAGGTTTTGGTGAAATGATGAACGCCAGGTGTGAGAACCTTATGAAGTTTTTTTAGAAACAAATTTAAGGTAGGTATAGATTTAGAAATCGATGTAGTGTTGTGAGCTTTAAAGTCATAATATATATATTCTCCAGGATATACTAAAAAATTACAGAAGGAATCCCATAAAAAATGTCGATGAAGAGGTATGTATTCTGCGACTATGTCTAGTCAGCGTGGACTGGAACAAGTCGACTTTACGCTACCTTAGCGGAATTCAGCTACGGTTTCAACACTTAAACATATGTCCTCGAGAGGGCGTATCGCTTAGTTTGAATCACGATGAATGACATTTTACAGGTGTTTCAACACTTTTTAAAACAGTGCATAGTACTAAAAAATCCACCATCCACCAGAGGTCGGTAGAAGGCGAGATACCGCAAATGAAAACAAACGATGACTGCGAACTGAAAAAATTCAGTTAATTTTATCTTTATCAAGTAAATAATACGATTGTATTCAATTTCTTTGAAATAATAGTAATTTATTAATGACTACTAATCATACTCTATGTAACAAACGAAATGGAAAGTTAAAACAACGAGAAGAAAAATACTACCACATACCTATAATAATAACCACCCCATATAGTTCATCAAAAGTGAGGATATTACTATTTTTCATCATTTTTATAGTGTACAAGACAACAATAATTAAATAAGGAAAATAGTGTGTATTCTTTTCTACAAAACTATAAATATTGTTCAAATGGATTTTGAAAAAATAAGTGTTAAGTGACATTTTGATGTTATGTTTACAGAAGAATAGGTATTAAATTATAACTGCCACATTGTAGATAATAAACAGATTCTAAATATACATGCTTATTTTATTACCAGTACTAAATAATCTTACATGGAGGGATCTCCTAATCGCAACAAAATGAGGTTCTTATAACAAGGCAAATTGATGAAAAGGGTAGGTACAAAAATGTTGAATCTGTAAACCTGAATAACCTATATAAATAAGTGTTGTATTAAACTTTTTATTATATGTATACGCAGAGGATTGTTTTCAATAGATTCATTAACTTATACTACTTTAATCATTTACCAAATAAATCAAAGGTTTGTAGGTAGGTGTAGCTACTCATAGATTGATAAAAAAAAACGAAGGAAAGGTAGGTCTTTTCAAGTGTGGAAATTTTATTAGTGTTCGCCAAGATGAATGAAAAAAAAAAAAACAAATTATTATCATTTTTGTTTACATTTATAATGTGATATTGGCTTTTAGTTTTATTTATTTTAGGTCTTGATCACATTTGAGTTGGAATTATTTTCCTTTTTACATTTATAATATACGGATGATGTCTTAAGGCTGTATGTCACGATACTAAATTAAGTACTAAATTTAGAACTAAATTAATGCATTTTTTAAGTACTAAAAAAATTCACGTTGCAAACAGCAAGTTTAGTACTAAATTTAGTACTAAATAAATAAATAAATTACTTAGAACTTGTTCTATTTTCCACTAAATTTAGTACTAAAAGTGCGTCGAAATGTTGCGCGGAAGTTTTTCACAGAAAAAGTTGACACGACGGTATTTTCTGTACCATTTTGTTTTTAATTAGCGAAAATTTTGCATTATCGCTTTGAATAAAGTTCGCTTGTTTGATTTTGTAGGTTTCATTGTGTTTTTTCGTGGTTTATAGTAGCACTGTATTTGGTTGTTGTCAAGTCAACTAGTGTCAAATTGATAATAAAAAACACCATTTACTTCACTTGTCTATTTTACACAGAATATTTCATTTCTCTGCTTATTTCACGTATTAATACGTCAATGACTTAATTTAGTGCTAAGTTTAGTACTTAATTTAGTATCGTGACATACAGCCTTTAACAGCCGAACTGCTAATTCTAATAAAATGTACACACATACACATTTAAAAAATTAAAAATACCTTTATTCGTTTCTTTTCTGTATCTACAAAATAATATAAAAGCTTATAACAGCAATTACTATCGTCTTTATTATTTTATTTCTACATCGTCCACTTCTACTTTTGATATCTAAATTAAAATTTTACATAAGTACATCCAGGTACATCATTCATATCTAAAGATCAACAATATCTAGACTAGACAATAACTATACCTCAACAAAGGTGAAAGAAGCATTACGTTAAACTAACAACAATAAATAATATTGCAAAATTATTAGAGTTATAAATAAAATACAATTATATTTGTTCGTAAATATAATATGTCATGCTCCCTGAACATTAGTATAATAACCTGTCAAATGATTGACCAATCATCTTATGGCCAGATCTTGAAGTTTGATACAAGTTGATATTAAAATATACTTTATCTAGCTCTTATAATGGTCAGACGGGTACCTCACCTTCTAACGACCTCTGGTGGATTTTTTGGAACTACGTTGTGTTTGGTGCCATATCGTCTTTTGTTTTTATATGGGATTTTAAGGAAGTTGAAACACCTGTAATAATTGTCTTTCATCGTGGTCTAGGTCAAGCAAACTTGTTACCAACTATTTACAGGGAAAACGGCTACCCTGGTATAAATAAAATGTCTACATCTTGAACCTGTACTACATTCTACAAATTAAATTACTGCACTCCTTTCTTCTCTAGACTATAGCGTGAGTTTAACCACAACTTTTCTTGGCAATTGTTTTAGTATTTCACCTGTGATCAGATCATACTTGGGTGCTTTCTTAGAATTGATATTATCTTTGATTTACTTATCTACCTCTTTATGCGTTACCCTAAGAATTTCTAGTATGCTCTCTTCTTTTAATAAATCGAATCCTCATTCTTCATTCGTTTGAAATTATTTTTCGAGATGATCTGCAAAGATGTCAGCATTTTATTTATTTAACCTCATCCAATTTCCGTTTATCTTCTTTTATTAGTAGCATGTGGACTATTGGACGTTTAAGTTTCCTAGTCGCTTTCCACAGAGAGTAATCAGTATTTTTGTCGTTCGTCAATACAAATAATATAAAATTAAAATTAATGCAATAAAATGAAATTAATACAAAATAGAATTAGTACAAAAAAAACTAACATAGATAGTGAATGTAAACAAATTTGTTTCAGGGCACGAAACTATGGATCATAATGGAATATTTGGGCGGCGGGTCGGCGTTAGATCTGATGAAGGCCGGGAATTTCGAAGAGATGCATATCGCCATCATATTGCGAGAGGTGCTAAAAGGATTAGACTATCTGCACAGCGAACGAAAATTGCATCGTGATATTAAAGCTGCCAATGTATTGTTGAGCGAAATGGGCGATGTTAAACTTGCCGATTTTGGTAAGTTTTATGTTCATAAAGTCAAGAAAACTTCATCATACATATTGTAGAACGCAAGAGGCCTATTGGTCCAGGGCTTGTTTCTTTACATTTTTCTATTTTCTACTTATATTCTTAGCAATTGTTGGCCAATGTTTCTCCAGCTTGCTTACACCTTGCTCTTTGTCTTCTTCTTCCTATTTTGTTTAGAAAATGTCTGTCCCAATATCTTCTTCACTATCATTTCCTCACCCATTCTCCAGATATGTCCTAGCTACCTTATTCTTTGAATTTTCACTATTTTTGTTATTACATGTTCTGTATAGATCTTTATTACACCATTCCCATATCTCTTGTCTGGTTGTCATATCTTTACTTAAAGCCCGTTTCTCGCAAGATGTGGGTCATGTCGATTTTGGTAAGTTATAAGTTCTCAAAGTCAAGAAAATTTTAGAATAGTATATACCACCATTGACACTGATATTTTCTAGGCGTTGCCGGTCAACTTACGAACACGACCAGTAAACGGAACACCTTCGTAGGCACCCCGTTCTGGATGGCGCCTGAGGTAATCAAACAGTCCGCCTACGACTCGAAGGCAGACATCTGGAGCTTGGGCATCACGGCCATCGAGCTCGCCAAGGGCGAGCCACCCAATTCCGAATTACATCCAATGAGGGTGTTGTTTTTGATTCCGAAGAACAATCCCCCTCAATTGACCGGCAGTTACAGTAAACAATTCAAGGATTTCGTCGAGGCGTGTTTGAATAAGGATCCAGAAAATGTAAGTTTAATGTTATACTATTACAATGTAAGATGTACAAAAACGATTGTTTTTAACTATTGTTTCAGAACATTGTAGAGCAGTGGCGGCTAGTCGTAATTTAAAAAGGGTGTTCACTTTTTTCAAATAATTTTATCGTTTGTAAGTTCGGTTCAAAACGTTGTGAAAGCGTCTCTTTTTATTTGAGTTTGTATTAAGTGTAGTTATTATTATCAATATCATACTTTTTGCAAGCACTACAACTATTAATGAATATTTTAGTTGAAAACCATTTAATTTTTCCAAAAATTTCAAGTTGATATTATTTTTCGTTTTTGAGTTAGTATTTTTTCTTCCTTAACCCCCCCCCCTACTTTATTCAAATTTTTTTCACATTTTCACAATCAATAGGGCCTCTTCTCCTTATAAAGCTTGATTTTTACTAAAAATTTTGTGTTGATTTGGCTTTTCATTTTTGATTTATGATTTTTTTTTAATTAATTTAGATGTGTTATGATAAATATGGATTTATATAAAGCGTGACAGTATTGATGGTGCAATATATTGAATAATAAACATAATTTTACTTTCCTTCTTCAATATTCTAAAGGTAATATACCGGATTTGCTAGAAATGTATTATGTTAAAAGTGCCTGTATTATTTTCCCCACTTTTTCTAAATTAACATTTTAACTATTTTTACAATTATTCATCCTCCAATTCCAGACCATCTTTTCATCCATCCTTTAAGTCAGCCATACTCAACCTGCGGCCCTCCAAGCTTTTTTGTGGCTCGCAACACTATTATTGGTCGCAGCGCTAAATAGCATGGTAATTTTTAAATAAACGTTTGGAATTTTGTGAGGTTACTGCAAAAACAAAATAGCTTCACTTTTGGAATTTTCGAGTTAAGTAGGTACACAAGTGTGAAAGAAGTCTATATTCATGATAAACCGCCAATAAAAACTAACTCCATTTTAATACTTTAACAATATGGACAAATAAGATGGAATGGCATTTATACCAAAACATAATCATAACATTGTGTTCAATTGATAAATGTGTCTACCAAAACCAGATAATAGGCATATAACTTATTTTTGCTAAATATATTTAGTCCGATTCTTAATAGTGTTCCTGACAAAACAAGATAAAGGCCAAACCGAGGGGAAACCAATAAGGTCAAAACGTACCTGTATTTCGGAAATCACTTAAAAAAATGTTATGCAATTTAGGTGATTTTACTGAAAATCGACCTTAATTTTATACGATGATCTTTTTTTCTCGCCATTTTGGGTTGTGAGCGACGAATTGATTTCGACCATGATTTTAGATGATGATTTTGGAATTTTCGAGAAAATGTGTAGTGATTTCAGTGATTTCCAGTAAAAACGTACCATTATTTCGAGAGTGGTTTGCCGCTACTTATTTTTGTTGAATGTGTTTGTTGAAACATTGTGCCCACGCCATTTGTTTTGTTATGAATAGAGCCCTCTCTGACCTTTCTCGATTGTTCCGAAATTACGTCACCCTTTCTTTCCGCAATACAGCTAACCTTAAACAACCACTAGATAATAACACATGATGTAACGGGTGATTGGTCAAGCTGTAACGAGTGATTCGTCAAGTCGTAACGAGCGAATCTTTATGGGAAAATTCGTGAATAAAAGTATTAGTGGTAACAGGCGAATATGAATTTTAACCATACTTTCTAATAGACAACTTATCAAAAGATTCAGCTATCCTAAATACACTCCACCAAAAAAATAGATTTAATTTATCAATGGGCGAGGTTGGGGAATTCGGCTTTATATGCCAAACTCGCACAGTATTTATTCAGAGGGATGCATGAAAGGATGAAACAAAGTTTTGAAAATACTTACAAAAAAGTGCAAGAAGAAAGATTTACTAAAATTTTGCAAAATCAGATGAATTTCACCATTATTATCACAATCTACCTGTATCCAATAATGTTACTGAAACTTCGACATTAAATTATGTTTTGTATGTAGAGCTAAAATAAGCTAAGTGACGTTTTCTCTCTCTTTTTTTTTTACCAATTATTGATAGATTATTAGTTTATACTTTGTGAACAATGTTTTCAATACCTTCTTCAAACGGTTTGAAGCTTTTACTGATTTTTTTATTCAGTTTTAAACGTTTGAATAGTGTTTTATCGAAACTCTAAAAATGTGAGTTATCTTGTTTTTGCAGTAACAACGGGATATATTTATGTTTCAGATAGATTTTAGATAGATGTCCTAAAAAAAAGGTCACCATCCAAAAATATTGCGGCCCATGTAACATAGCACATATACGAATGTGGCCCGAAAGAAAAAAGGTTGAGTATCGCTGCTTTAAGTCACTGGATTTTTTGTTTTATAATCATAGTCACAGTAAAATTAACCAAATTAAAAGCCATTCTAATTTCTTTTCTTTTTTCCAATATGCCAATTTAACAAACTCACAAAACAAATATACTCAAACCTCCTCTGAGGCCCTTGATATCAATTGCTTTTAGTTAATTTTAGATTTTCAAATTTCAAACTAGTTTATTGATATATACCATATATTATTATTTATACTTTTATGTTATCATATAGGTATTTAGTTTTAATTATTTTTCATATCATTAATTTGTCTACGCCTTGTTACCTCGTGAGATCCAGGTTCAATCTTTGTCTTGGACACATTTTTCTTTTCAGCTTTTACAATTTTACTTTGGTTTTCTCACTCCATTCTGCAAAAAACAATGTTTTTATTTTTTTATTAATTATTGAATATTTTTATATTTTCAGAGACCCACAGCAAAAGAACTATTGAAGTATCCGTTTATAAGAAAAGCTAAGAAGAATTCGTATTTAATAGACCTGATCGATAGGTACAAAAAGTGGCGGTGCACTAGAAACGAAGAATCTGAAACTGAATCTGAAAATTCCGACTCGTACGTATATAATTTATTAATACATCAATTACATTTTCTTGTTGGATTTCCGAAATCGCTTTCGGCTCCCAACATGGCGATATTTTCTTAGTAATACATATTGAAAAAGGTACTACGTTGACGGAGTTACTTTCTTGTCTTTTAGGGAGGAGCCGAAGCAAGATGGTGACCTCGACGATCCTTGGATAATGACTGTCAAAGGAAATATGAAATTACCGCTAGAAGAAATCCCTTCTCCCAATCACAAAGCCGGCAACAAAGTGCAAAACGGTTCGGGACCGATGTTGAGCAAATCTCCTCCGAAGGATTCAAATCTCAATCATTATAGGCCAGAAAAATCTTCTATTGTAAGTACACAATACAAAAAAAAAGTTAAATTTGCTCCTATTAATAAACGTTTCTTTTTTACAGTCATCCAAATCTTCAGGTATACAATCACCGCTCGATAACAGAGACAGAGACAATAGAAAAGATAAGGACAGGGACAGAGAAAAGGAGTCTGAGAGGGAAAGGGAGAGGGATCGTGAGAGGGAGCGTGAGAGGGAGCGTGAGAGAGATCGTGAGAGGGATCGTGAGAGGGAGAGGGAAAGAGAACGCGAGAGGGAGAGGGAAAGAGAACGTGAGAGGGAAAGGGAACGCGAGAGGGAAAGGGAACGAGAACGCGAAAGGACGGACGTGAAGGAGAAAGAGAAGCGAATATCGCGCGAATTGAGTCCGTTGGATCATCGAGGAGACGCTTTGGCGGCGGAAAAGAGGGCGAACAGAAAGTCGATTTCGAGAGAGCATTCGAATTATAGCGGCAAAAACGAGAGCCGATCCCCGGTGCTCGGAGGTTTTATTTATCCACTAATTACAGAGGTAAGTGAAAATTTTCATATCATTTATTAACGTGAATTTCATTTTAATGTCATTTGACAGTTCGAGTATAGTGAACAAATTTCAATTTCAAGAGAATTTTTATTTATTCTTTATTCTTCTGGAGATCTATCTTCTCTCCATAGTTGTATCATTAGTTTGTACAGTCTCTCTCTGTTAGTTATTTTATCATTTCATTGCATATTTCATCTATTCCTGTTGCTTTAACAACAAATTCTATTTTTTTATATGGATTGCTTGAATTTAATTCTTTACCTCCTGAAATTAAGTACCTCTCTACCTCAATTTAAAAAATATTTGCTGCAATTTATTTCCAGTCCGGATAATTAACTTTTAATTTTTTTTAACTAAATTTATTTGTACTGACTATATTGCTGTTTTAAAAGTACTATGTATTAATACTTCCTATATTAATAAAGTTTCTTATTATTTCCTCGAATTCTGCTGTTAATGGTTCTTCTACTTTTTTATCCTCCATGATTTCTTCATATTCATCTTCCTCCACTGTCGTTATGTTTGCCATGTAATTTTCCCATCTGTTCTTACTTATTTTAACTGTTATATTTTTTCTTCTTTTTTGGTTTCTAATTCATATTATTTTTGTTATTTTCTATTTCATAGTCTTATTCCGTTGTCGGTAGTTGTTTCATGAATATTGTTTCTTTTCCGGCTATATCATTTAGGAAATATCCCTTGCCAATTTTGGCATTGAAGCCTCCTACAATGATTAGTGTGTCGTAATTTGGTATTTTCTTACATGTCTCTTCAAGTGCGCCATAGTATATTTCATTTTCCTTACAGAAGCAGGTGTGTACATTTATAATAGAAATGTTTGTTACTTCGTTCTTGATCCTAATATATTTTACAATTTATTCTGCTGAATTCCATGATATCTTTCATAATTATCTTTATTTATTATAAATGCTGTCCTGTGTTTTCCTTGTTTCTCATTTCCTCCATATAATAACGAATAATTTTTCTTGTCGATTCTTCCTTGTCTCTCCCATCTTATTGTTGATTCTTTTCTATGTTCCATCTTATTTCTTGTAAGATCAATATGCCAATATTGTGTCGCTTCATTTATTCACCTACTTCCATTTTACCAATTTCTAGTAGTGTTCTTATCGTCCAAGTTTCATGTCTTATCTTGTATCTGTTCTTTCTCTTTTTACCTTTGCCTTTAATTTTTGTTCATTCCATTGCAGTGTCCCTTTCATTATCTACCTGGTAATTTGTTTTTTTTTTAATTTGTACCTTGCTCATATCATTGTTTCATTGTCATTTTCATCGTTATTACTCTCTATCTATATTAATTTTTTTTTTTTTTTTTTTTTTTTTTTTTTTAATTACTTTCCTCTGTTGTTCCGTAAAGGATTCTTTTTCAGGTGATCTTTCACTATCTGTTCTTTGGTCGGTTTTTTCACTTCTTATTTATTTAAGTTTACTATCAAATACTTTCCCATCTATTGGGGTCTATTCTGTATAAATTCCTTTATATTTAACGGTCTTTAAAAATATTTTCTTCTTTAATTCAGTCACTATTTAAACGGATCTTTAAAATACATTAGAGGACTATCTTAAAGAAATCTGTTTAAATAATGATAGAAGTAAATTAACGAATACGAACATATTTTTATAGGCCGCCAATATTTTTAAAGGCCGTTAAATATAAAGGAATTATTACAGAATAGACCCCATTGTCAGTTTATTTTATTTTAACATTGCTTTTTACCCGTTTAATTTTTGGCAGTAATTATTTCCTTTCCTCTTCAGACTTCTTTCGAATATTTCTTGAAATATCTATTTACAGAATTATTAATTTTTTGAATAGCTACTTCTATACCTTTATCACTATCTGATACTAGAGTGTCATCAGCAAAAAGATGTATCATCACATTCACTACAATTATTGTTGATATCGTTAACATAGATTAAGAGTAACACTAGTCCTATATTACTTTACAGTAACACTAAGTTGAAGTACTGATTTACAAGAATGGTTGGATCTAAAACCAGATTGTTTTTTTGTATTAAATATTCCTGTTGATAAACTACTAACACGTAACATTTTTTCAACCCGTTGTTTTAGATACTTTTTCAATAGGTGTAACCTTACTAATTTTTAAATCATCTGAGGTATTTAAAAAATGATACCAGACATTTTCAATTGCTTCAAAGCTACTCTATAATTTTACTACATAGTACATCAACTTCTTGTGACCTCTGTTTGCTAAATTTGATAGAATTACTTTTAATTCTTGAAGATTTAGTATTTTAAAGTCGCTTAAACTATCTTTATCATTGTAAACAATGTGACAGGTATACTCGACAGCTATGTCAGAAATAATATCTTCAACATATCTCACAAAAAAATTATTAACCCGTTCATTGCGGAAGCGCGATATCGCGTCCTCTGGACGTTTTACAAGGTGCGGACGACGCGATATCGCGTCCCTAGTAAATATTATGTTAAATGCTTACTATATTATTATCAACAGTTTCTGAAAACGCACAAATTTCACTCCGCGTATGCGGTAAAACCTATTTCACTTAAATCTAAGCGCCTTTCTGGAATATGTTGTTTATATTTATGAGTAACTGATTTTAAACATAACCTAAAAAATATTTACCCGCAAACTTACGCTACTATATCATTACCGCATCGAAAGGGTTAAAACAATTATTAGCAAATTCATTTTATTTTTTTCTAATACAGACATTTTGACCATTGTGTTCAAATTAAATACCATTATAAATATACAGGGTGTCCCGAAATTAGACGATCATATTTTAACAGCGTAATCTACATCCTAAAATAGGAGTAAAAGTTCATATAAACATAGGTCCGGAAACGTTTCTTTTCCGAGGTACAGGGTGTTAAAAGTGAAGTCCTGATGACACACTTTTGTAAATATTTTCTAAACATTTAAAGATAACTAAGTGAAATTTGGTACGAATGCTTACCTTTTTACGCTCTATTTAATGGACTAAACCCCAGTTTTTGATCATCTTCATAAGTGGGTAAATTAGGGGGGCTTAGGGTAAAATTGCACTAAGTTGTTTTTGTTGATAGTTTTTAACATTTTTGACTATAAAATTTGGAAAACCAATGTTTTCTTTATAATAAGAGAAAAGCATTTGAAAATTTCATGACAAGTTGATGTTATCTTATTCGAAAGTGTAAACAATAATTATTAGTAGACCTGTGGAATCAGAATTTTTTTTTTATTTTGGAAAACTGGTGACCTAAAAGATCTATCATGTCCCTTAAAAGATGCATCATATCAAAGATTTAATGGTAGGTACATAAATATAGCAAATTTTGTAACAAAATTTAAAATTTTAGTTTTAATGCTAAAAAAAAGCAGATTTTGATTTCACTGTACAACTCGAGAAAGTGGTTAACCTGTAGATTTTTATTGACCCCAAAATAGTCAAATTTAATTGTCTTTGTATCTGTCATTTAGAATGTAGCAACATTGATAAGAGAAATAAATATACCTAACAAGTTTTTGTACTATAAGTGAGAAAATGCAACAGAAACACGATTTTTTAGTCTGTTTGGGCTATTTACTTATCTATCATCAGGGCATATAAGGGGTTTTAATATCAGATTTTTAGGTTCTTGCAGTTATGTAATAATTGGCATATTATTATTAGTAAAATCTAAAGAATCCACAAAAATTGCAGAAGTAATAAATGTTTTAAATAAATATTGAGTGCTGTCCCATTCCCTAGTAGTATATTGGTGATAGTGATCTAACTTAGTTAAAGATTATTTAGAGACCTACCATTTGTTACACTTATATAAAATGTATTGATAAAAAAATGTGTTTTTCTTGTAGTTCCTATGATTTAAATCAGCAAAATATTTATTCTTGCATATATTTTATCAAAAAGCAGTAAGTAGTTTTTTATAACTAATACTTACTGTTTTGCAGAAGTTCATATTTAAACATAAAAATCAATGTTTCTGTTTGCTTGCCACTCTTGTATTTCAGCTTTGGATGAGCCTGTATTTGGTGTCTTATGTAGTAACATGCTATATGAAGCATTGTCCATAACAATTAGAGAAGTTTTTCAAACCAATTTAAAAAATTGTCTTTATTCATTTCTCCATGACAATCATTTAATTTAGTTTTTGAAGAATATATAGCTTCGGCACCCTCAATAAATCCATTTTCGTTGCCAGCATTGAGTATAATATATCTATAACAAAAATAATGTTTATTTATATAATAATATAGCATGTGTCATGTAATTTCATTGCAATTTTTTATACTTCTACTGAAATTTAAAATGTAATGAATACAAATACAGATATACAAGGTGTCGTGTCCCACATCATTGTGTTCAAGTTTTAGGAGCATAAAGTACACTTCTTTTCAAGTAAAACTAAGCGCAAAAACTATATCATTGATTGACTTTTTTATCAAATAAAATATGGTTTTATTTACGTAAAGAATGAATTTTGATTATTTATTATTTTTCAATAATGTATAGGCATGTAACTTTGAAAGAAATAAAAATCTGGATGTAATATTGCTGTTTTTTTACTTAAAAAGAAGTGTACTTTATGCTCCTAAAATTTGAACATAATTATATGGGACACCTTGTATAATAGTAATAAAATGTAAATGAAAATAATTAAAGGAAATATTTGGCAGTACTTGTGAGGTTCATATATAAGACTTACAATACATCTGCATTACACGTTTAGTATCTAAATATATATGTAAGTCTTGGAATACCTATCTGAAAAGTACATGTATAATATTCATCACACCTTCATTTACTTTAAATTTGGCGACTCACCTTTTGCCATCAATTTTTGTAGTTCTAACACTTCTTTTGTCATCATTTTGCCAAGGGCATCTACATAATTCCTTAAAAATTTAACTCTCCTTACAGCAATGTTTGGAAGCTCCATAAGACCACGTCTTAGGTCTTTTTTTTTTTCGATTTGAAACCTAATTCTTTTAATACAATCCACAATGATGTAGCACAGCTATTAAACATTTGCTTCTTAATTAAATTTTCTCTTAAAGATTCCAAAGTTATATGTTGTTCTGCAAATAAAAATGTATTTATTTAAGTACTGTAGATATACAAATTTAAACTTTTATTAGAAACATAAATTATGATTGGATAAAAAAATGTATCTTGTACTTACTTCTTTCATACATATTATAAATAACATTTCGGATTCCACTTGTTATTGTTGTTAGTAATGTTTTTTTTGTATGAACGCTTTTTAGGTGGCGATTTTAATAGTTCAATATTCTTGACTGCTTGGGAAATACTACTGACAGTAGAAATATATATGTTTATAGCCGCAGCAACTCATTTTAATTAGTTGGTAGTACTATGACGAATGACCAACGTCATTGCTGACGTGCATCGGGATTTGTATTAAAAATACTATAGATGCGTAACTTCCTTTTGTATTCTTGCTCTATTTCCATATCTAATCATTTGTAAAATTTCAATCTTGAGCTTTTCAGTTAAATAAACCATATTGAACGATCTTTCAAAAATAACTGACTTTGTTAATAACACCGGCACACAAAAAAAAGTTGTTTGTACATCAGATACGGCCTACCTACGGGCATGTATTTTGACCCGCTGAATCCGAATTTCAAGTCAGTTTGGGCCGTCCACCCTTCAATATCCACCCTTGCAATATCTCTAAAAACTGATGTATGAACTGAATGAGGCGAAAGATTTTCTCAGATTTTGAAGTGTTTTTTGTTGGTATCAAACTTATTTGTTCTCAAATGACCTCCGCAGTATTCAGCGGATCGAAATACTTAAGAATTATGCTTGGTTTCGATTCATAATTTTTTTTTATTACTAATTATCTTATTTTTACTATTTTTACCATTTACTCGATATTGAAGGGTGGACGGCCCAAACTGACTTGAAATTCGGATTCAGCGGGTTAAAATACATGCCGGTAGGTAGGTAGGTAGGTTGTGTCTGATGTACAAACAACTTTTTTTTTGTGTGCCGGTGTAATCAATATGTATTTTTAATCTTCAAAACATTTGTTGACTTGATAAAAACCACAGCAATACCATCTTTGTGTTTAATACCTAGATTACTGTTTTTTTTTTTCATAAAATGATAATGTACTATACAAGTTGTCAAAGTCTCAAGACATGACATTTTCCAATTTGATTTTTCTTGTAAATGGTAAGGAATAAAAATTTGATATTTATGTACAACTTTACAAACTCTATAAAAAAAGCCATCAAAATGACAGTGTTGCTATTTAACAAAATCAACGATGACGTCATATCTCTAAATTGGGACACCCTGTATACATTGTTATGTATGTAAAAAATCTCGACTGGAAATATTAATCAAAGAGTCCGAGCATTTAAAAAAAAAAAGAAACAGTATTTGAACTATTGAATTTATTCCAAATTACACTCTTCTCTGTATGTATCTGTACAGATTTCCCTTTTTGTTGGTATTTTCCAATTTGAGCTATATCATCAGTAATTCCAACACCTGCCAAAGGTCCTGCTAGCTCTTCCGCATCCAAGTGTGTTAGGAATAAGTTTGTTCTTGTTCCAACTTCGTCGCGGAGTTTTTCATACTACCTTGATTTATTGATTTACGTAGTAGTTGTCAGTTACACAATTCTTAATAAGTAAAAGGAAGTAAAAGATTACAAAGACAAAGCCAGAAAAGACACGATGGCACAATTGCAAGATATAAATAATGGGATATAACCAGTTTACACGTGGCAAGTTGCCAGTGTTGCATGTTACCATGAATAATGATGATGACTTTGAGGCGTATGTTGTGATGTGCAATACTTTAAGGTAGGGCATTGCTGTTTTAAGGTAGGGCATTGTCCCTATGTGCCCCCCTCTGGCTACGGTCCTTATTAGTACACCAGTGGTTTACCCCTCGGTAAAAACACTGCAGCATTTTCAGATACAGTTTGATTTGATTGACGTGTGTTGAAATAAAAGATATATATATATATCATTGGCTGATGTACTATGGTGTTAAATAATCTCTTGACTGAAATATATGTTTAAATAGATTTTGCATTCTAATGTTTCAGTGTCTTATGAATCTTTTTATCTAAATTATGTTTTGAATTTGATTCACTGCAATTCTGAAACTTGCTCATTCTGAAATTCGCTCACTCTGATATACTTTTTTTGTATTTTGAAACGTATTCGTGTAGTTAGACCTATAAGCCTTTTCGGGTAAATAAATTAATGAATATTTGTATTGTCCAGTTGCAGAGAAAGCACCAGTACAACAGAAGATCCGCGGAGGCTTCGCACAAGTCGAGCGACGCCATCGAAGAATTAGAAAACGCCTTCGAGATTGCCGAGAAGACGAGTCCTGGCATAAGCGAGATGTTTATATGCGAATTGGTGCAGAAACTCGTGCCATCGATTTCGGATCAGAGGCTTAAGGGGGTGTTGGATAAAGTTGTAAGGTGAGTAATGTTGGGTTTGCACCATTTAAAGTCTAATTAACATTTTTCTCTTTTTGTTTCAGGGATACCTTGTAGGAATAATTTACTGGAAGTTCTTCTGACATAGTTGTTCGAAATGAGAATTCGTTAGTTTGGTTAAAAGTTATTCTTCTCGTTATTCCAAGTTGTTAATACTTACCATTTACATGACAATATCTTGTATCTATTGAGCTTATTACTGGTAAATTTTAAGCGAACATTCATTATAGAATAATAGTTGTCTTCTAATTAACACCACCCGTTATCTTATCCAAGGCAATTCTACACTAAACAAAACAAAAAAAACGTATTTTTACCGTCTACTTATTCACTAAAATTAATTGGCCCGCGTCGTTTGAGGGTGTGTTGCCAAACATAAGGATTATAACGTTTATAGTTATAGACCAAGAGCAACTCCACTGCCTATACAAATTTAATTACAACCTGCTAATAACAGTCCAGGGCTGGCGATCGATTTGGAATGGCTAATGAGGCAATTGTTCTGTTAATTGCTTTTGATTTATCATTTCACGTACAGCATCAACAACTGTTCCTTGTCTTGATGGGGTACTGCATCGCCAAAATCATCAATACACATTTCGAATCGTTTGAGGATTGAAAAAAAAATTGTCATGGCAAAAATACAGATTTTGTTTAGACAGGTTGGGATTAAAATTTTGATGGTTGCTTAATAAAAATGGATATATAACACCCCCAAACGAGGCGGACTGTGTTGTGTACTCCCAAAGGAGCACTTTTTAAACGAATTTTAGATCGTTCGAAATTCGAGTTAGAATTGACCTCGGCAAGTTCGAAAGTTTTTTTTAAGTTTTATGATTTTTTTTCCTGAAGGAATAATTTAAATAAAAAAAAATGAAAGTTATGCCATGTCCTCTTGGGATACATTGTATATATGTATATCTAGATTGAACTATATTCTATTATTAAGATATTTTTTCTTGCAATGTATTTTTTTAGATGTGTAAATATATATCAATAAATAGTTAAACTGTTATTGTATATTTTTTTGTTTATTATCTTCTTTAGATGTTTTTTCCCGTAAAACAAAAATGAAAAAAAAAAAAAAAAACTGGCCAAGCTCTATAATATCAAAATGGGCCTAGTGAGACAGAGAAATAGTCCTTTCACCTGATGAACTCGCAATATCCAAAGTGGCTGACATTTTATAGTTCCTTATCAGACTACAAAAAGTGACATGTGGTGTTTTTTGCTTGCTATTTGTAGTTGAGTACAGGATGAACAACGTATACTATGTCTCGGGAGGTGGGATCTGTCGTCTGACCTGTCACATTTTTTATATTTTGTTGGCAATGAAATCTATGCTTCTAGGCATCTATAACAATAAAAAAATCCCTTTACAATCAGCCACCTGACCGGATATAGCTTAAATGCTTTTTTTTGAATCTAAGATAATATAGCAACCTTTTTTTGTACCTACAAAAGGGTTGATATGCAAAAAATTTGCAAACTGGTGAAAGTGACCTGTTTTTTGAAATAGGTAAAATTGGAACCAAAATTTGAAAAGTAGTTTAATTGCTCTTAAAGCGTAAGTGTATTGCAATTACAGGGATTTTTTTTATTCGGTAGTTATAGGTATTTTATATTCACCGTGGGGTTTTCAAGAAAAAATTCAAAATAGTCTAAATTATGGCGAATGTGGTAAAACTACTGAATCAAAAATGCTTACATGAGCAATACTTTTATTTGAGAATCATTCAAACATTTTGCGAGCAATTAAACCATTTTTTCGACTTTTGAGTTCAATTTTACACATATTAAAAAGTCACTTATTTTGCATATTAACCCTTAACACAAAAAAATGCTTGCAATAAAAGTGTAGTTCTCCATATTGGTAAAAATAATCCTCGTCATAATTATTTTCTAAACGGTCATATGTTAAATAAAGTGAAATCTTACAATGATCTAGGTGTTATAATTACTGAAAATCTCAGCTGGTCTGAGCACGTTCTTCAAGTGTCAAAAAAGGCGAACACGAAAATGTACTTATTAAAGAAAACATTCGCAAAAGTGTCTTTTCAAAATTCTATCCGGCTGTATAAATTATACATTCGTCCGATTATCGAGTACTGCGGAGCTGTGTGGTGTCCGGAACTATTGCGGGATTAAAATATTCTTGAAAATGTTCAGCGCCGATCAACCAGACTATTTTTCGGACGTATGAGACCTAATTACGCAGAGAGACTACATATGGCTGAACTACAAACGTTTGAAAATCGCCGTCTGTGGGGTAACATGATAATTTGTTTTCGTATTTTAAAATATAATTTTGGAAATTTAAAATGTATGTTCATCGTGGACAGTGAAAATCGACTACGTGGCCATAAATGGAAGCTGAAAAAAGAACAATTTTTTACGAAAACGAGGCAAAATTTTTTATTTAATCGAATATTCCACACTTGGAATTCTCTACCGGAGAATGTTGTAAATGCTCCATCTGTCAATGTTTTCAAGAACGAACTTGATAATTTTCTATTTTTTAATTAACATTTCATTTGTTTCATTGTTTATTCATCGGTTGTACCTGTTATTGATTTAGTTTTTAGTAATATTATTTTATATTCAGTTAATATGGGTCTTATGGCCCCTGCTCTTATCAAATTATAATAATAATATCATTTTAGATTCAGTAAAAACGTGCTTTAAGATACAGAAAATGCTTGCAAAGAAATTTTTTATTGTTATAGATGGTGTCTATTAGTTTGAGGTGAACCACGATGTCAATCCTCGTGCTGGTGTTAAACTTTGCTGTCCAGCCACCTTTGCTGGTGGTGAACGTTGATGTTCACCTTCCTTTTCTGGAGGTGATGTCCAGCCTACTTTGCTAAAGGTGAACGTTGACGTTCAGCCTCCTTGGATTTGTGTGGGTTTGGATCACTGATCTGTATTATTTTACTGGATAGGATATAGCCCTATAAAAAACGTTCCGAAAAATTGGCCGATTTGGGCAAATAATATGGCGGACCGGATGTTATTTAACGTAACCTCTATTTACATTTGTCATCACATTTGTCATTTAATTGTGTCAACAAGCTACGATGAGTTGTTTTATTGTGGAAAACAAAGTAAAAAGAGTATGAAATAAATAATAAACGTTCATTCCTGAAGACACAATATGCTTCACGTTTCCATTTTTATGTTTTCTTTCATAAAAAATTAAATCATGGGTGAATTTTCCCGAAGGACATCGCCCGCAAAAGGTATAGAAGAAGAATAAGAAGAAAAACTAATTAAATTATAGGTTAGGTATGTCAAATTATCCCAAATTTCAGTTCTGTGAACCCACCATAATTTGCCCAAATCGGCCAGCAATGTTGCACTTCCGGTCTCCTTGGTGGAACGGTTTATTAGTATGTTAAATATAGCCTATATCCTATCCAGTAAAATAATACAGATCAGTGGTTTGGATCCATAAAGAAAGAAGGGTCGACCGACGCAGAGCTTCGCATACTCCGGTAAGGTTAGATACAAGAGGGTATCACCAGGTGCCCCCAGAAGAACGTCTGCTGTCGCTTTTACCACTGCAACAATTCATTCATCGGCACGTTACCTTACACTGAGGGTTGGTATATTTTCCATCTACCAATTTTCAACTCGATCGGGGCCCATTAGAGATGTTAACTCTTCGTTCTTTTTAAATACCTAGTTCGCGCGAACTAGTTCGCGAACGAACTACAATTTTAACCGATTGGGGAAAGCGGATCATGCGCTTAGCGCGTGGACTCCAGTAGTTCCCAGCGTGGCGAACGAAACTGTAAGTAAAAATGTATGGGAATTATAATTATTTTTATTCCATATTCAATGGCTGAAATTTGGTTTAAAAACACATTTTTGCTAAACTGATTCTGATTATCGAGCACTTGTGAAGCAAATTGGCCGCGAATAATACGACTCGCTTTGAGCAAACTATATAACAATGTGTATCATTGACCCTGTCGGCCTGTCAAATCCGTTCAGACCCGACGCGATACCCGATACCGATCAGAGACGACGTACATCAATCATGTTCGTTCTCGTTCGTCGTTCTTTTCTCATCGCTGCCGCTGAAGATCGAATCGAACTAGTTCAATTAAAACATTCGAACTAGTTCATTTAGTTCACACAAAAAAACGGCTCATTTTAATAGTTCGTTCGCGAACTACACATCTCTAGGGCCCATGAATGGTCCACGAAAAATTCAAAGGGTATAGTCTTCAAATAATTTTGTTACGTCTTTGATTTAGTTAAAACTTAGTACAGAGAATTTGTATGTAAAACGTAATGTCGGAATGTTCTCTGTTAATCAAAATCTCTCCTCGTTCAAAAGTTGGAAAAAATGATGATTGGACCAAACTTTGTAGAAAAATATAAAACCGGTGCATTTGAATAAACTAACTACAGTTTCCTGTCTGTTAATTTTTGAAAAACAATCTACTTTTTAACGATTTAATGTTTTAGATGGCATACTTTCCATCTGCTGATTTTCAGCTTAATCAGAGACCACGAAAAATTAAATTGGATAAAATGTTTTGTCTCCAATTTCGCTGAAACTTGGTACAGAGAATTTGTATGTAAAAGTTGCTCTGATTTGGATGAAACTTTGTATACAGATATTAGAGGACCTGGTGCATTTGAAGAAACTGCAGTTTCCTGTGTTTATTAATTTTCGAGAAACAATCCTCTACTTTTTAACTATTCAGGTTAGAAAAAACGGATTTCTTTTCATGTTTTAGGTGGCATATTTACATCTGTTGATTTTCAGCTCAATCGGACAGAATTTTTCACGAAAAATTTAACAGGTACAATTTTTCAAATATTTTTTGGGTGTTCTTCAATATTCTGCCTCCCGCCGCCTTTCTTAATAATATTTTGTTATGACATATTATTTATTATCTTGTGTTCTACACTTTATTAAAAATAATTTATCTGGAAACGTAGTTTGCATATGCTTCTACCTGTCATTTTTTTTTCTGGCAATATCTTCTAAATATTAATAATAATTATAAAAGAAAATGCAAAATTTATTTATCACCGATTGTGAAACAAAGTTTTTTTGGTTTCTCGTGTAAATTTTCTTCACATGTAAGATATCCTTTGTAAATTTTTCGCCGTAAAAACGAAAGAAAATAGATTTAAGTATAACAAAACAAACGTTTATTAAAAAGTTTAGTTATGTATCACATGATTTTAAATATGTACAAATAAAATACATCCATCCAATGAAAATATAATAAGTAATCAGCTGTCATGTCAATTGTCAGTAAGTGTTCCTAAAACAAGTAAAGTGGATTTTCTGTAAACAAGGATTTAATTAAAAAAAATCAGAAAAGTAACATATTTTATAATGTAGTCAATTCCTTATTCATAGTTTATTTGAAAATGCATGATAGCAGTTTTTATGGCAAAGGTCTATATTTTTATATAATTTTGCTATCATTCATTTTCTTGTTTACTATCGCTTCTTTTTACAATAGATGTTTTTTACCAGATTCTTTTTATAAAAGAGTTTTTTTACAATCGATTATTTGAACTCATACTACATTGTTTTCATCATAACCATCAATTTACTTGACAGATAGCCATAACTATTTTGATCCTATAGTATACTTCATTGGACGAAATAAAAATGTTTATTATCCTATTTTTCATAATAAATTATTTCACCTATTTACAACACTGCTCAATTTTTCCTCTTTTTCTTATCCTTTTCCGGCGCCAAACCCATGGATTTCTCGTACTCCAAAATGAGTTTTTCCTGGATGCCGGGCAACGTAGGGGAATACCGGCTGTACTCCATCGTAAATTCCCCTTTACCCTGCGTGCTAGATCTCAGTTCGCCGGCGTAACCGAACATTTCGTTGAGTGGTACCTCGGCGTAGACTGTGAACCAACCTTCCGTTCCTTCGGTTGCGGTAACGATGCCTTGGCGTTTGTTCAGCTGCGCCATTACGGCACCTTGGAATTCGTCCGGAGCGGTGACTTCTACGGCCATGATGGGCTCCAGAATCTGCCAAGCGCCGGTTTCGAAAGCTACAAAAAAAACATGTAGATTTAATTTAAGACCTTAACAGACAAAACGAGAATTAGTGATAATACTGTCCATTTTTTACATTCAATACATTTGATTGTAAAATCGATTATTTTGTACAATCGATTCCTGTTTTTGCAATCGATTCTTTCTTACAATGAATTCTGGTTTTTACAATCTTTTACTTTTTCCTATTGATTTTTTTACTGTTTGCAATGGGTCTTTTTACAATCTATTATTTTTTCTTTACAAATAAATTATTCTTTTACATTAAGTGTTTTTTTTTTTGGTGTATGTTAATAGGTCATTCCAGGTACGGACTTAAGTTAATCAAAATAATTGTCGATTTAATGTTAAAAAATTTATACCGGGTGTTCAAATTAAAGTGTTACAGCTAAATACCGCCTTTTATAAAAAAAAAAAAAAAACGTTTCAGACGAAAGTTTTATAGTTTTGTGGGGAAAAATTTTGGCTAAAATCGGTTTTTATAGCTAACCATAATATGACCAACTTTTTTTTCGCCCAGCAAAATTTTCAAGTAGCTGTTACTCAAAAAGTAAAAGTCCAATAAAAAAATATTTCCATCAAAAGTTTCTTATTTTTTTATGTACTTGAAAATGTAAGAAAAAAATGGGATTCCCATTTAAAAAAACAAAGTCCACCTCGATATGGCCATATTATGGTCAGGTTTAAAAAAATGAATTTACCCAAAATATTTCCCCCAAAAAACTATAAAAACTTTTGTCTGAATTTTTTTTTAAATGCATATTTTCGGCGGTATTTAACTGTACTACTTTAATTTGAACACCCGGTATGTATATTTGTAAACAGAAGTCGAAATTATATACCTGAGGTAAAATTAGGGTAAAGTCCCAAAAAAGTAGGCAAATCCGTTAACAATAAATTACTTAGGTCAGTGTAAGAAACCTCTATAATTTTTTTTTTTTCGATTGAGGCCATTCTGTTCAATATACACAGTGACAAAGTTAATTTAAAAAAATGTGTCATTATATTTTCGTCGTTTTAATAAGTATATAGCTTAAAATTGGTACACTGGGCTTTTGTGGAATGACATCATAATTTGAACCTAAATATCACCCACCTCATAGAGGGTGCTAATTGCAAGGGGTTTATTACCCTTAACCTCCGTAAATTTTGTATCCAATAGAAAAAATAATAATATAGGTAGTAGCCGCTAAGTACTCTAAACGTGTAATCGAGATCTTCCTTCTTATTGGAGAGAGTATGTTTTTTGTTTGAATGAATTTAATAGAGGAAAATCCTCCAATATCTTCTGTTCTTAGGAAAACCGCTGCAACATAAAAATGCTGACTGACATCACAGAATAAATGCAAACTTTGGGAATTAATTTTAAGACAATGAACAAGAAAGGTACCTAGGAATTTTTAGATTAACAAGAATGCTAAACTCATGTACCCAGTCTAAAAATGCTTTCTTAATCTCGGCAGGAACCTCGGCGTCCTATCATATTTTAAGAGTTCACATATTTTGCAACAAAATCTTAATAGGCAAAAAAACAGGACATGAAACACAACGAGATCAAAAATCTTATTGGCAAAGAGATAAAATGGCTCTTTTTGAAATAGTGCTTAAATGAATGATCTGGAACCAATCCAAAAAAAGTTCTAAGGTGTCTTCCAAGCGATTTCACTTTAGCCCTAAAAGATTAGACACGAATGTGTTAGGTATATCATTATTCAAAAGTGTGTGTTCCCACAGGCGTAAATTATATTTTGCCTCATCCATTATTTTAGTAGACTGATCAGTGAAATATTTTAATTGTTCCTCAGAATCAACACTAGTCACACAATTGTCTACATAAAATGATTTTAAAAGTTTTAAAATAGGACGGCTAGATCGAGAATTGCTTTCAGTACAAGTATCTAAGATCCGACTTATTACGGAATTAAGATGAAAGGGAATACAGGTTACCCCAAAAACAACCCTTGCATGTCGAAAATAAATAAAACGATAATTTTTGTAAACGTAAAACATCTCTATCAGATTTCAGAATACCAATTTGCAGAAAAGATCGTCTTATATCTGCTATCACTTCAATTTTAAAAAGACGAAACCTTATTAGAATTGAAGGTATCAATTCAATCAAGTTGATACTTTTCTCTAAACATTGATTCAACGATGATAGTGAACATCTTCTTTCTTCTCCTCATTCTTAGGTACATACTCAATAACTCCTTCTGATAACCATTTTAAAAAAACTATCATATTCATCGTAATATATAATTTTTCAATTTTATCATTTTATCGTTTTGACAACTTGAAATTATTAGGAATTGGGGGATGACCTGCAATCCAAGGCAAAGTAACTTTATACCTTCCATCATTGTTAACAGTTACAGAATTTTGGAAGTGCTGAAACACTGCGATCTCTGCTTCTTTAGTTTGTTTATCAGTAGGATCAGTAATTCCAAGTACAAATTTGTTCATTCTTACATAGAAGAGAAGTAACCATCATGCAGGTGGACTTTGAAATACTCAGACACGAATTGAAGACCTTAACTTCAAAAGGGTCTAAGTGCCAAAATTTAAAAACTATACATTTCTACATAAAAAGGTTCAATATACCAACCCTAACGGTAACCAAATGGTTCTAAGTGCATTTTAAAAGAAATCCATTTTTTGTAGTGGGATAAACATGGCGAATGTATATGTGCGTATATGATGTATACAATTTTTATTTTACTTACAACTTTTTTCCATGTTTTTTGGCACTTAGACCCTTTTGAAGTTATGCTCTTCAGTTAGCAATCTTTCCGAGAATAGTCCATCCTAGGAGTATTTCAATAGCAGTTAAACCACATTTTAAATTATGAAAAGTTTTCCCACAACATCAGCTCCTATCAGGATATTTAGACCGTCATTGGTATCAGCTATTTCTATCAATAAATGTTTGAACTATTGCATCCAGGGACCTTCATGGGTGGAAGTAATATTACTACATATAGGCTGGTCTAAAACCTGGAAATTACATGCATATCTTTTATCTAAATTATCTAACCTAATTTTATATACAGAGTGGTTGACAATTTCTGACTGACCACCAAATAATGCATGTACTATAGACTCAGTTCCAAGTGCTTTAAAATTCATAACAGCAGCAACAAATTTGTTAATGTAGGATCTTTGAGAGACGGTGTCTATTATTATAATAGACATGTATAATACATCTCACTTTTCTTGTACAGGTATCTCTCTTCAGTTCCACAACAATAGTCTGTAAAAATACTTGATGGTATGTATTATTCACAAGGGATTTTAATTCCAGGACTTTCTTCAGCTACTGTTTTTTCACCTTTTGATAGATTTGGACACATTGATGATATATATTTTCCTTTACATTGTTGACATTCTAATCGAACTGGGCATCTATAATAATAATAATAATACTCTCCCTAATTCACCCCCTTACGAGTGAATTTCAACCCCTGAAGTCGACTGAACGACTTGTGTAGGGGAAGGGACGGCTATTATTATTATTTGCCGGGGCGACTTAAAGATGATTGATGGTGCCATTTGACTTACAGGTGAGGAAAACCCGGAAAACCTCACCCACCATCATCGAGACGGTAATGTATGGCGAATTTTTTTAATCTGCATGTCATATCAACAGAAATTGAATTTCTATTAATACGCCACACATCAAATCCTAAACCGAACCATGCAATTTAATTAAAAATCCACATGGTCTGGTCTGGGATTCGAAACCCAGCAGTCTCAGACTCATAAACTTGCCTATAAATGAATATAAGCGCGATTGACCGCTACACCACCGTCCCGATAATACCCGATAATATAGCTCTGCGAGCTATATGACCATGTTTTAAGCATAGATGACAATGTCCATTTGACGACAATATATTTTTCTTTTCAATCAAGCTCATTTTGTTAGCATCAATACAATCGTCACTTAGATGAGTACCCTTGCAGAAAACACATGTGCAACTTTTGATAATTTATCTGCCCAGAAGTTGTCGGAATTGAGACATTTTGTTTTACTTCATTTTTAGATTTTAAATCAAAGCAAGAAGTAGCCAAGCAAATTTTCTCTTCATCTCCTTTCTTCAAAAATGTCATATTTTATCAAATGGTTGTCTGTACTTTCCGAAATAGGAGTTAATTGTAATTTGGAATTGTTTTGACTTCTCTGACATATTCTTAGAAGATTTTCAGGGAGGCACGATTTCACCAGTGGGCATAACATTGCAGCATATTTTTCTGAAGTTACTCCTAGTGTCTCCAAAATGACTGAAGGTGCGATTCAAGTCTATCAAAAAATGTGTCAAGATTGGTTTTAACTTTTAAATTACTTAGCACTAATTTCAGCAATTCACGAACATAAAATTCTATTAATAAGTCATCCTTTCCAAAACGTGTCTTTAAACTGTTAATGACTTTATCATAATTTTCTGCGCTAGGTGGGTAACTTTCTACTAACTGTCGAGCTCGGAATTTTGAAATAGTACATTGTACAAGATACTGGAATTTGTCCTCTTTTTCAACACTTGAATCTTCGTGAATTCTTTTAAATTGGCTCCAGAATGGAATTCATTTATTTAAGTTACCTCCAAATTTTTTGAATTCGATATGTGGCAGTTTCAACTTTGTTTTGAAACAAGTACTGGAATGACTTGATTTACTATTACAAATGCTACCACCAGAATTCTTAGGAAAACGTTCATCAATTGTAATTTTTAATTTATTATACTTGCTATTCAACAGATCGGAGTTCATTACTTCAGCAATTATCATTTTGAAGAAGCCAGAACAATACTAAATTATATTTTTTGATATACTGTGAAAATGTCACTGAAAAATTCGTCTCGTTCGACACTAGAACGGTGGATAAGCGATTTCCCTGAACTACAATTTATTGGTGATGAAATTTGTTGTAACGTGTAAAATGAAATCACATGTTTTACAACATATTGGAACCGACAAGCATAAAGCACGCTCTAGTGGA